ACCTCCTAAAAGACTTGCTCCAAATTCTTCTCCATTTCCCTTTCTTCTTCTGCGATACCAGTCAGGCGTAGGTTCAGCCTCTTGATGTAATCACACATCTCTTGTAGGCTTTGTTCTTTCTGTCTGAGTCTTCTTTCTATGTTTTTTACAGATCAGGTTAATTCCATGTTCTGGTCATCAAGTTCTGAGATTCTTTCTTCAGCTAGATTGATTCTGCTTTCCATGCTTGTCATCTTGTTATTTATTTCCTGAATGAAATTTTTCATTGCCAAAAGCTCTGTTACAAGTACTTTCAGTGTTGCATCTTTCTTTCTTGAGTCTTATTCACTCATTCCATCCATTCCCTAATCCCAGTCGTATTCTGGGGCCAGTCATTGGTGACTTCCATTGTTTGGCACCAAGGTCTGATTTTTCAGGAGTTTTTTCTTTGGTATACTTGAAATTGCCTGAGGTATTCTTTTGGTTTTTCCTCATTTGTGACAGATCTCTTGTCTTTCTCTTTAGTTCTGTTATTCAGTTTCAGTGGAAAAGGTTTTCCCTTCTGATTTTTGCTCAGTTCTCAGATCTCAGTTTTTCCCTTATCTGGGTTCTGGATTTGTTCTGTTTTGAAATAGGATGGTGGATGGGAAGCTTTGCTGTCTCTTGTAGTTTTTGAAATTCGAATAAAGTAAGGGATGGGGCTCTAGGATTCAGAAACTACTTGCAAATTACAATGTCCACTTATTGTGATATGTATTCCCCAAGACCACTCCCTGCCACCACTCTATATGACTATGCAAAGCAGAAACCAATGCAAAAAACAACTGAACACACACACAGCCAAACAAACTGGAATAACAACAGAGTGAAACAAAAGAAACCACCACAACAAAAAACCAAGAAAGTTAAACACACACATACATGCCTCGCATAAAGTGAATAAAAAAGAAAAACAGAAAGACCAGAGGGGGTGGGAAATGGAATTCAGGTGAAACCCTCACACATATATTGACACACACATTAAACTATAAGAAATGAAAAGTTAAAAACCCAGAAGAACAAAAGAGTAAAAATAAACCAACAACAACAACAAAATTGAAAGAGGAACACTCAATCATTCACATACACACATAAACAGAAAACAACAAATAAATGAAGAAACAAAAAAATATTTGAGAGGGGATGCAGATCAAACCCTCACATAGACATTCATGCACAAAGGAAAAATATTTTTAAAATAAATGAACTAACATACAGTTAAAAAAAAATTTTTTTTAAACCTGCCCTCTTGTGGCAGACTCTATAATTGTTCCTCTAATCAGGTCTCACCTGCAGAGCCACCTCTTTCACTCTCTCCTCAGTGTCTGAAGCAGGGAAGGAGGAAGGGCAACGGGGGTGGACGGGGCTGCAGTCCTCCTCTCCCACTCTCGTATGGTCAGGGAGATCTCCTCCGATGGGGAGGTGCAGGATTGTCTCTTCCCCAGGTATGTACACGCGGGTAGGGGGGAAGGGGGTTACCCCAAGCCAGGCCTATCCTGGAATGGAGTTCTCCTATTGCGACTGACGTCCAGGCTCCACCTAGGTTTGTCCCACTCAGTCGTGGTCCAGCTGTGTGGGTCTGACATTCAGAAGATTGCTGGGGAGGAAAGGGTTTGGGTCAGCCCCAAACTCACCACTGATCTCTTTGGAGTTCTTCCTTATCCTTTTCTGGCCACACCCTTTGTCCCACAGCTGGATCAGGGTAGGGGGTGGAGCACCTAGAACGCAGCACTCATCAGGTCTCTCTGAAGTTGGTGCTTTCCGGATATTCCCTCTGGGTCATGATCAATCCCTGAGTAGTTGATCCACCAGTCAGAGATCAGGTCTGTTGCTCTGTGGTGAGCGAGTTGGAGCACTTTCATGCCCTCCCTTCAAGATGGCGGTGGGGTGCCTCTCTCATCCTCTTCCGTGGAACTTTGCCTCTGGGCTCCCTCTGCAGCCCCTGCTGCCAGTGCCCTGCCAGGCGTTGAAGTGGTGAGGCAAAGCCAGGAGCCAGCAGTCTCTCTCCTGTTGCACCAGTGAGGGAGAACCTGGGACAATATTTTCTCCCCTCCACTTTTGTCCATTTAAAAAATAATAATAGCCGGGCTCGGTGGCTCAGCCTGTAATCCCGCGCCTTTGGGAGGCTGAGGTGAGTGGATTGCCTGAGCCCGCGGGTTTGAGTCCTACCTGGGCAGCGAGACCTCATCTCTACAATAAATCAAAAAATCAACCGGTCGTGGTAGCGCATGCCTGTAATTCCGGCTACTTGGAAGGCTGAGGCGGAAGGATCGCCGGAGCCCAGCAGGTCGAGGCTGCGGTGGCCGGGAGCGGCCACTGCACTCCAGTCTGGGCGACAGAGTGAGACTCCAACTCAAAAAATAGTAATAATAATAATAATAATAATAATGGCACTCAGCTTCTGAGACCTGGGAAGAGCCAGGGACAAAACAGAGAAGCTGCAGCACCAGGGGCCTGGCCACTGGCTCACGAGCCCCCACTTAGACAGTCTCTCCCAGCATTTTCTTCCCAGGGAGGATTTGTTGATTTAAAAAAAAAAAGAAAATAAAAGAAAAAAAATGGCACTCTGCTTTTGTGTCCTGGGAATTGCTAGGGTCCAAGCCCAGCAGCTGTGGCACCAGCCGCTGCACCAGGAGAGCCCTGGCTGCTAGCTCCCTAGCCCTCAGTCAGCCACTCACATGCCCACTCGCTCACTAGCATGTACACAAAATTTTCCATACACTCACTCACTCACCCGGGGACTCACATAATCCGACTGGCTCGGCCGCCATCTTCCCCAGTCTTTGGAAAGCATTTTCTAAAGGCAGTTCTAAGCCTGGTGCCATGAAGGTGTGGACGTTCTGTGCATTCCATCCAAGGTTGAGTCATTCCTTCCAAGTCTGTGTCATTCCTTCCAAAGTCATGGGATTCCATTATGGTGGTGCATTCCATTCATGGTAGTGGTGTTCCATCCATGGTTGTGGCATTCTAGCCAATGTTGTGGCATTCTGTCCAAAGTCATGGCATTCCATCTTAAGTCATGGCATTCCATGGTCGTGGAGCTCCATCCGACGTCATGGTGTTTTCTAAGGTTGTGGCATTCCATTCAACGTCAGGGCATTCCATGCAAGGTCATGTTGTTCCATCCATGGTCGTGGTGTTCCATCTGAAGTTGAGTCATTCAATATGAGATCAAGTCATTCTCTTCAAAGTCATGGTATTCTGTCAGAGGTCAAGTTATTCCTGCCTGAGTTCACAGCGTTCTGTCTGTGGTCGAGTCAGTCCATCTGAGGTCAAGTCATTCCATCCAAGGTCAAGTTTTTCTGCTCGAGTTTCATGGGGTTCTGTCTGATGACAAGTTGTTGCATTCAAGGTCAAGTCTTCCCATCCAAGGCCATTTTGTCTGAGGTCATGACATTCCATCCAAGGTCATGGCATTCCTGCCTGAGGTTATGGCATTCTGTCTATGGTCAAGTTATTCCATCATTCCATCCAAGGTCAAGTTGTTCCATCCGAGGTTGTGTATTCCATCTAAGGTCAAGTCATTTTTCCCGAGGTCATAGCATTCCATCTGAGGTAGTGGCATTTTGTCCAAGGTTGTGGCGTTCCATCCATGGTCATGACATTCTCTCCAAAGTCATCCTTCTGTCCAAGGTTGAGTCATTCTATTTGAGGTTGAGTCATTCTGTCTGAGGTCAAGTTCTTCTGTCCAGGGTCATGACGTTCCATCCAAGGTTGTGATATTCCATCTGAGGTTATAGTGTTCTATCTGAGGTCAAGTCATTCTGTTTAAATTTGAGTTGTTTTGTCCAAGCTCATGGCATTTTGTCTGTGGTTGAGTTGTTCTGTCTAAAGTTGTGGCATTCTGTCCATGGTCATGGCATTCTGTCTGAGGTTGACTCGTTCTAACCAAGGTCATGGCGTTCTGTCCAAGTTCATGGCATTCTGTTTGTAGTTGAGTTGTCCCATCCAAAGTCATGGCATTCTGTCTGTGGTCATGGCATTCTGTCCGAGATCAAGTTGTTCTGTCCAAGGTTGTGGCATTATCCAAGGTCGTGGCATTCCATCCAAGGTCAATTGGCATTCCACCCATCCTCTATTTGAGGTCAGTCACTCTGTCCAAGGTTAAGTCATTTTGTCCAAACTTGTGGCATTCTATCTGTGGTCAAGTTGTTCCATTCAAAGTCATGGTATTCTGTCATGACATTATGTCCAAGGTCAAGTCATTCTAGCCAAGGTCGTGGCATTCTGTCTATGGTCAAGTCGTTCCACCTGAAGTCATAGCATTGCATCTGTGATTGTGGTATTCTGTTCAAGCTCGTTCTATTCCAGGTTGTGACATTCCATTGACCATGGGAAGGACTAGTCTCTGCAGATGCAGGTGTTCCCAGAGCCCGAGAAGCCTCATTCTTACCCCATCAAGGCAGGATCCCAGCAGAGGTGCCAAGGCTCTGGAGCACAGGCCTGGGACACTTGGGTGACAAGAACCCTGGAGCATTTCTGAGTCAGTGGTCTCACACTGACCCACAGAACTGAAGTTCCATGATGGCCCCAGTGTCCCAGGGTGGGGAGGACAGAGCCAGGAGGCTCCTTCATTGCCATTTTCTGAGTGGGAGCAAGTGGCTGCTGTCCTATAGGGTTTTACTTGGAGAATAAAATTCTACTACCAAAGAGAAACATGAAAACTCCTGCCCTGAAGTGAAGAACACTTAGCATGTCTCCAGACCCTTATACCTCAAACTATGCCTTTTATATGTGTTATGTAATATATACTTATTGTCTGTACTATATTATCCATGATACTACATAGATTAATGTATATTGCATTATCTATGTTACATATTCATATCTATTTCTGAGTACTCAGAGATCCTTTCATGAGACAAAGGTTGAGAGACAGTGTGTAGGAATAGCTTTGCCTCCTGAAGTCACTTCCTAATTTTCTCCAGCATTCCCTGGCGATGACTGTCCTTCCTCAGCACCCCGTCTTGTCTTCCTTGCAGAAGCTGTACCGGAAGGAGGTCAAGCCACCATTCAAGCCAGCAGTGGGCAGGCCTGAGGACACCTTCCACTTTGACCCCGAGTTCACAGCACGGACACCCACAGGTGTGTACCCCAAGGTTCTGTCCATTGGTGGGTTCTCCTGCCAGACCCCTTGGGGACAGATAGGTAGGAACCAGAGATTCCCATGCTCAAGAATGCTTTTCATGGAAAGTAACTGTAAGTTCTGTTTGTCTTTCTTGTTTTCTCTGCTCAGTGATTAAGGTTTAAGCAATAGACCCAATCACATGTTATTCCCTAACAACCACACTGGAAGTCATCAAGGTGCTGGGTTGTGGGTCCAGTTGCCACCTCTCTCAGAGGGACACACAGCCAAGAGCAGGAAGAGGAACGGGGTCCAGTCAATGCCTCTCATTTAGTTAGAGTACTTTCATGGAGAGGAAGGCTGTCAACTAAGCCTGTAGGTTGGTGACCTACAGCTGTTATTCATGCAAAAAGCATAAGCCTATTTGAAAAGTTGTATCAGCTACTAGATCTCAGCACAGCAAGCAGATGCACAATTTAGTTTTATGGTACATCTGAAATTATTCTTAGGGTCTATCAAATTCGGTGATAACTGGTCAGCTCCCTTTAAAAGTTATCCTTGTCAGATAGTAATGATTTATTGTTTACTTCTTTAGCCATGGTAATTGTCCTCAGTTGCTAGGGCTGCCACAACAAAACACCACCAACTGGGTGGCTTAAACAACAGTCATTCATTTTCTCACCGTCCTAGAGGGAAGTCCAAGATCAAAGTACTGGCAGGATCAGCTCCTGGAAAGGGCCACCTTCTGGCTGGGACCTCACATGGCCTTTCTCCTATGTATGCATGTCCTGATGTCCTTTTCTCTTTTGATGAGGACACCAATCCTACTGGATTAGAGCCCTACTCTCGTAGCCTCACTTACCCTTAATTACCCCTGAAAGGCTCTATCTTCTAATACAGTCACATTGGCGACGACACATAATTCAGTCCACAACAGTAATGGCAATTTGCAACACCATTAATAAGTTCCTTTTTTTTATTAATCAATGTTTTTATTTTGGTATTGTGGGGTACAGTTAAGGGTTAGGTATACAAATATGTTTCGTTCAGGCACCCTTGTTGATAAGGGGTGTCTCCCCATCCCCAGACAGATATTTACTACCGTTAATCCCATCTCCCTTCCCCCCCCATAGTTTCCCACCACTGTCAATCCTTTTCTTATAGTATTACGATGATGCTCTTTGAAATAAATCTGATAAATTTTCTTGCAAAAAAACAAAAAACAAAAACAAATTCCTTCTCAGATGTAGGTGGGACAAGCCCAGCAGCCAGTAGTTGTCTTGGCCACATGGGGTTGGGGGTTCTATGGGGTTTCACCTTCTTTTCTCACTGCTTTGAATCTGACGTTTTCTGTTTTTTTGTTGTTGTTTTTGTTTTTGTAAAGATAATCACGAAACAAGTAGATAGATGGTCAACTACAGAATATCAAGTAGATAAAGTTGAAACAGAAAACCCACTTTGTTCCTGTGGGTCCAGGCTGTAGGCGAAATCCCTGTTTCCTGCCCACACATGAACACACAGAGGTGGGTGTGGGCTTGTGCTGTGGCCAGGGTTGCGGGGCTTTTAGGGGATTTTAATGGGTCTGGGGCAGCTGCTGACCTAGCAGTGCTGGTACAAGGACAGGAAGGAAATGGATCCAGAGCTGTTAAATAGGAGTCACGACTCAGGTGGCTCACTGATTGCTTTTAGGGTCTACTGCAGCCCCTAGGTGGAACCCAAACTGCCATCAGTGACAGCCTGAGTGAAAACTGTCCTCACAGCCTCGGCCCATTGCTGCTGCGTGATTTAATGAGGCCTCCTAGGTGGAGGTCACTTCTGGGTCTGCTCTCTCTTGAGGTGACGGTGGGACTTTCACCCAGATCTCATCTTTCTGAGAAAGCATTTATGTGTTGCGGTCAGTCTGCTTGTGGACAAAATTAATCCGAGTCACAGGATGAGCTTTCAGTTTCAAGGCTGGAAAGATGAGGCGGGACCCGGAGGTTCCGTCTTGGCTCTGCCCTCAGTCACCTGACAAGCCCTTCTGTTTCTCCTCCTGTGGTTGACTTGAACAGAGAAGTAGCTTGAGGCAATTCGCTCTGAGTTCAAGAGTGTGGTCCACAAGACCACATAGACCTCAGCATCCTCGATGAAGTGCAGTGTGCTTTCTCGTGAGTGAAATGCAGTCATATGAGGCTGTGTGTCTCAAATGTTAAAAGAAAGTCTGTATTTGTGCTGCCCAGAGAGAAGATGCTAATACAGCCAACTCTAAATTATTCTCACGTGCATGCTTTTTATATCATCCATGAAAAATCTAAACTCCAGCGTAGTCAGCCAGTCACACTTGCCCAGAAACTTTGTGGAGCACCCAGAGGGTTCAGTTTTACTTTACTATGAGCTCAGGGAAAACATAAATAGACACAAAGCCTCCCAGTGCTGTTCAGAATGGGCTTTCTCAATCCTTCGTGCTTCCAGCTATCCGAGCAGTTTTATTTAATGTTACTTTCCCACACTACAGATTGCCTTTGAGGTAGGTAGTAATTGAAGTGCTAATAACAGAAAACTCATTCTGACTTTCTTGAACGGGTAGGATTTTCCAAGCTGAGTGCTAAGCATGTGGCTGGGTGAGCATGGTCATAGCAAAGTGGTTCTGAAGTAGCAGAGAATCTACTCATCCTTTCCATCAGACTCCAGACACAATGTGGGAGTTTCTTGTCGTGGACTCTTGGTCTTTTTAAAAACTTCAGCCAAGACCTGTTTCTGTTTCCTGATCATATATCAGCTGCCCATTAGAGCATGCAAACTGGGGGGGAAAGCCTATCTAAGACTTCAAACCCCTCAGGAGGTTGACTGCGGTGGTGGCTCACGTCTGTCATCCCAGCTCCTTGGGAGGATCCCTTGAGCCCAGGAGTTCAGCACCAACTTGGGAAACATAGTGAGAACCAGTCTCTACCAAAAAATAATCAAAAAATGAGCTGGGTGTGGTGGCATGTGCCTATTTTCCAGCTGCTCGGAGTCTGAGGTAGAAGGATCACCTGAGCCTAGGATGTTGAGGCTGCAGTAAGCCGTGATGCCACCCCGCACTCCAGCCTGGGAGACAGAGTAAGACCCTGACTAAAAACAAGCAAACAAGGAAACCATCAGGCAGAAAGATTTCACAAATCAGAAAACACATATGAGATCATTCAAGGCAGTTTGTAATTACAGTCATATTGCATTTCCTCTTTCCCAGCTCACACGACTGCTCTTCTTAAGTACTCTGCTGAAAACCCACCCCTTACACAGCTCCAGAGCAATGTCAGTTCTGTCTGGGCCCTACTATTTCCTCCTTGCCTCACCATACCAGCCAAAGGCCAACTCTCTTGCTTCTGGGAAAGACACCCCAGCCTCTCTCCTGGTCTGTGCTAGGAGAGGCCAAAGTCCCCAGGCCAAGGAGGGCGTGGCTGTGCCCTTCCTTCCCGTCTCTGTTAGTTAGAGGATGGGACTCGTTTAATCGACAGATTTTTCCACTCACTGATGAAAGTGCCTCAGTCAAGCTGGCATGACTTGGACCCCAACACACACACACACACACACACACACACACACGTACACACGTACACACGCTGCACTGCATGCTATAAATCAGCCTCCTGATCCCTGCTCAACCCTCCACATTTGCAGGGCACATGCGAATTTCCTGGGATGAGCTGGAATTCTCACATCTGGAGCCCTAAGGGAGGGCCTGGAATTGCCTTAAGGGTGTGCATGGCTTCAACTGAGATGCCTCTTGTTTCCAGAGAAGATTTTGTACTTTGTGTGGTCGCTTGGAGGATTTTAAGAGAAGGCAGACCTCAGAGGCAGAATTCCGTGCAGAGAAAAGACAGACAACTGCACAGCACCCCCACAGAACAGGTGCGCCACCGTCCAGAGCATCCCAGCACCCCAGGGAGCCCAGGTTTGCAGGATGGGGTGCCATCCCTGCTATCTCGCAGGGCCTAATTTCAGATTCTAAGCACGTCTCCTTTGCGTGTTTTATGTTTTTTAAATTAAGCTTCCTTCGTCTGGCATGGTGGGAATTTATTTTCCAAACATAGTCAACTCCGGTCACATGAATCCAGGGGACACGTGGGCATTTACCCGGGGTGACCGTGGAGACCCCTCTGAAAGGACGGACACCTGGCTGTGGCTCCCAGGGCGTTGAAGAAGAGCCCAGGTCCATGAGCTTCCCACCCAGGAAGAGCATGTGGGCGGGGAGGTGCTGGGGCAGCCATCTGCCTGGACCAGGCCCCCAGGATTGCTGCCCTCATAACCGCTATCCCCAAGAAAAGATCTTTGCAATTGCTATCCCCACCCCACACACCTGCCACACCTTGAGGAGACAGCACTGCGCATGTGGCACAGTTTCCCTTCTGAAGTTTAGCATCTGAATGGAGGAAATGGGGAACATATTAAGGCCAAGGCCTGTGCAAACCCAGGCCTCAGGGCAGATGACTCTGGAATACATAAATGCACACATACCTGTGCGTGTGCATAATTGTAAAAGGAATCTCACATATAGTATGTAGTTTTACATTTTTACATAGGTATGTTTTAGGGAAAAATTAAATACATATTACATTTTACATATTGCATGAGTAGAGTCTTAAAAAATGGAATTTATTTATTAAAAATTTGTGGGTTTTTTTTAAGTTGGAGTCTCACTCCATCGCCCAGGCTAGAGTGCAGTGGAACGCTCATGGCCACCCCAGCATTGACCTGCTGGGCTCAGGCAATCCTTCTGCCTGAGCCTTCCAAGTAGCCGGAACTACAGGCACATGCTACCATGCTCAGCTAAATTTTGATTTATTGTAAGATGCAAGGTCTCACCAAATTGCCCAGACTGGTCTTGAAACTCTGGGCTCAGACAGTCCCCTCACCTCGGCCTCCCAAAGTGCTGAGATTACAGACTTGAGCCACCGCACTCGGCCTGTGTTTATTCTTACATGTTTGAATTTCTGTCCCCTTCAAAGGACTCTCCATTTGATGTAATACACCTATCGAGGCGCTTTTTCCACTGCTCAAAACACTTTTTGAACTCGTCGATTTTGATGCCTTTTAGTGCTTCTGCTGTTTTTTGTTTCACCTCTTCCCCATCAGCAAAATGTTTCCCTTTGAGGATTTTTTTCACCCAGAGAAATAAAATTTTAAAAAGTTGCTTGGGACGAGATAAGTCGGATATGGGTGGGCCACAGGGTTCATACTGTTTTGGTCAAAAACTGCTGAACAATCAGCACAGGGTGGACACGTGCATTTGTAAGTCACCCATCGTGAATTGGGCAAAGTCGTTGAAACAATCTCCAAAAAATATTCAGCCTCTCATAACAATACTAGCTGGTACATAGATGCCTAGAATGCTCACCTAGTGGGGGAAGCCTGTACTACAGGGATTCACCCTCCAAAAGATAATTCCAGGTTCTTTGAGGTCTCCCCTCATATATTATAGGATTGTTATATGCTGTTATATACTATATATGATTTATTCTATTTTAACATGATAAATATTAAAATATATATTTCAATTTTTCTTATAACATCTAGTTCTTTGTATTGTTCTATAGCTTCTACAGCTTTTTTTTTTCTTTTTTTAACTTGACAAACTATTAGGGATGTGCTTCTGTGTTGGTTTACGTGACTGTGGCTCTTTCTGCTGGTCCTTGTCTTGCTAGTAGGACACAGCTACAGAGCATCTGGGTATCAATGGACCACTGGTGATCATGGCCATGGTTGTCTTATTTTTTTTTTTTCCTGCTGTAACAAATATTGCTAAAACAGACATTTTCACATGTATTTCTCAGTCCTTCTGAAAGTGACTCTGTGGCATAAGTTCCTGGATGTGGAGCTCTCGTCAGAGGACGTGAGAATTTTAAAGCGTGATGGGCACTACCAAGTTGCCCTTCAGAGAGGCTGCGCCAAGGTGTGCCCCTCCTGCAGTGAGGTCGTTCGCTCAGCCGACCCTGGGTGGTGTTCACTACCAAGTTGCCCTTCTGAGAGGTTGTGCCAAAGTGCGCTCGCTCCTGCAGTGAGGCCATCCACCCAGCTGAGCCTGGGTGGTGAAGTTCTTTCCCTTTTGCTAACTCATGAGGCAGACATGCTCCCTGACTTGAACGCATGTGTGCTCCTTGGAATGATGAGCCTCTCTTCATACCCATAATAACTCTCAGTCATTCTCTCCTCCCTGGGTGTTCTGCTCTTTTGTTGGGCTCTCTGGGAGCTCTTTGCCTAACTGAGAGTTTGGCTCTTTGCCTGTTTCGCGTGATCAGGTGTTCTTCCCCGCCAGGCCTCCATCCCTCTGCCTTCCTTAATGGTGAACTTGAAACAGGCTCAGGCTCACAGCCATCATGCTTTTGAGCAGAACCTGCAAAGCTCAGGAGAATCACACTCCAAGGAGATTGCACTTTCCATGCTCCTGCCTTGCCTCAGACAGGGCAACTCTGCCCAGATGACCTTGACAAGCGCGCGCCACTGCAGCACTCAACGGCCATGTAGCTGTGGGTGCAGAGCGGGCAGGGGGACCCGATGGACCTGGAGGCCAGATTCTCAAATGATTCTCACAGTCCTGAGGTTATGGAACTTCTTCTCATTCAGGGGTAGGTGGGCGGAGGATTGTGGTTGAGAATAACTCATGAGTTCAGAAGGCTGCAAGCTAAGAGATGTGGTCAACAGAACCTTAAAGGTTTTGTTCAAGGGATCCTTCCACTGAAAATTTAAACATTTAGCACCACCCAGAATGAAGTAGTTTCATCTGGGTCAGCACATCCACATGTCTGCTTCACCTTTTCTAACACATGCACACATCACACAGTCGCACATGCCACACGCACTACACATGGGCACACAACTTGTATGTGCACATGACCCGCATACACATACACACAGCATGCATATCCACACATGCACACAACTCGTATGTGCACACAACCCACACACATACATACCACATATGCATCCACACACATGCCCACAACTCACACATGCCACATGCACACACGTGCACACCACTCTCGTGTGCATGCCACCTGCACACACCAAATGCACATACACACATGCACATGATACATGCCACATGCGAACACATACGTGCACATGACTCGCACATGCGTGCCACATGTTCATAGACATGCATGCACTCTACTCATACATGCCACATGCGCACACCGCACAGGTCCCTCTACCCCAAGGTCACCTGGCCCTTGTGATGTCTGATCTCTGCTGTTATCACCTGCAGACTCCCCTGGCGTCCCCCCTAGTGCCAATGCTCATCACCTGTTCCGAGGATTCAGTTTTGTGGCCTCAAGCCTGGTCCAGGAGCCATCGCAGCAAGATGTGAACAAAGTCCCAGTTCACCCAATTGTGCAGGTAACTCTGTTTGCCTCCAGGACTGACATCTGGCTTTGGTGTCCTCTGTGGCCTCAGTCACCCTGGTTGCTGGCACTGAGGCTGAGTGAACTTCAGTCACTAACTCTTCCCCAGCATTTCCCATTGTTCTGTCTGCCGTGGTGGTCCCCATGGTGGCTTCCTGTGGTGGCTTCCCATGGTGGTCCCCATGGTGGCTTTCCATGATGGTCCCTGTAGTGATCCCCATGGTGGTCCTCATGGTGGTCCCTATGGTGTCTTCTCATGGTGGTCTTTATGGAGGTCACCATGGAAATCCCCATGGTGGTCCTCATTATGGTCCCCATGATGGCTTCCCCTGGTGGTCTCCATGGTGGTCCCTGTGGTGATCCCTAGAATGGTTTCCCTTGATGGTTTCCTGTGGTGGGCCCCATGGTGGTCCCTGTGGAGGTTTCCCATGGTGGTCCCCATAGTGGCCTCCATGGTGATTTCCCGTGGTGGTCCCCATGGTGATTTCCCATGGTAGTTCCTGTGGCGGTCTCCACAGAGGTTTCCTGTGGTGGTCCCCGTGGTGGTCTCCATGGTGATTTCCCATGGTGGCCCCTGTGGAGGTTTCCCGTGGCAGTCCCCCGATCTGAGCCCTTGCTCCCACTCCTCCGTGTATCTTAAAGGAGGAAGAAAAGGTCCTGAGAAGAATGTCCCCCTGGTGTGTCTGCAGCTGTAGACATGAGCCTGTTTGCTGCGTGGGGGTCAGCCAGCACCCCAAGATGGCAGTTTGATCTGTGGGTGACATTTGTCTGTTATGCAATGTCGTCTTTGAGAGGTCCACGGAAGGTGACATTTTTACCAGAAATTTTCCACTTTATAAATGTAACTGGAATACAGAGGCCTCTCAGAAGGAATTCTGATTAAACGCATCCAAGAACTGAGTCAGGGACATCGGCTGGCATTGGGTTTCAGTGATGTTTCTCTCCCTTGTGGCCTTTTGGAAGAATGTGGCGTGTGTAGAGTGGACACTTGCCATACAGTGTGCACTGTCATAGGTGGCTTTTGTCTTGGGTGAGGGTGGTGGGCTGGGGTGTGATGCAGGGCAGAGCAGGTTGTGACCTGGATATCATGAGGCCAGACTTCCAGTGAGAAGTTCCATCCAGATTCTCACTCTAGATGCTGGCATCGGAGCCGAACCCGCAGCAGCGAGCATGTCCAAGTGTCTAATCCCACACTCTGTCTCTCGGAGCTATAGCCCAGGAGCCAGGGAGGCAGGGATTTAGATCTGCAACTATCCTCAAGTGGTTTTGTGACCTCGGACAAAGATCCGCCAACTCCTGAGCCTCAGTTTCCTCGAGCTCACAGTGGGCATCCCCTTGCCCCCAGTCTGTGGGGTTGTGGCTGTGTGTCCTCACGCTCTGTGGGGCTTGTGTGCTGTGGCTGTGTCTAGATGAGAGAGCATCCTCACAGCCCTCTTTCCCCGTGGTCCCTCCCTGCAGCAGCTACACGGGAACAACATCCACTTCACCGACGGCTACGAGATCAAGGAGGACATCGGGGTGGGCTCCTACTCAGTGTGCAAGCGATGCGTGCACAAGGCTACTGACACCGAGTATGCTGTGAAGGTAAGGCAGACCTGCCTTGTGTGCGGTGCATGGGCAAGTGTGGTGTGTGTGGTGCATGCGTGAGCGCAGTGTGTGTGGTCTGTGTGACCACTGTGTGTGTGGGAGCTTGGTGCGCGTGTGGCGCGTGTGCAAGTATGGTGCATATGTGGTGTGTGTGTGTGAGCACAGTGTGTATGATTCATGTGTGCTGAATGTGTGATCGTGCACAGTGTGTGTGTGGTGCATGTGCAGGTGTGGTGCGTGTGTAGTATGTACGTGAGCACAGTGTGTGTGGTGCATGTACAAGCACCACGCATGTGCTTGTGTGCTCAGCTGCATAGTGACTCCTGCAGTAACATCTGAGCCTGCACGAACCTTCTCTCCCTCCAGTCTCCATCTGTCCTGACAGGCTCAGTTTGCTTTGATCCGGAGTCACCCATCACCAGAGGGGTCTAGTTTCAGCCCTATCCAGCGTGTAGGAACTGGCTGCCTTAGTAGCTTCTTGTATAAAAAACCAAGAATGTAGCCAGGCTCAGTGGCTCAGCCTGCAATCCCATGCCTTTGGGAAGCTGAGGTGAGTGGATTGCCTGAACCCGCGGGTTTGAGACCCACCTGGGCAGCGAGACCTCATCTCTACAATAAATCAAAAAAAAATCAGCTGGGCGTGGTAGTGCATGCCTGTAATTCTGGCTACTTGGAAGGCTGAGGCAGAAGGATCGCCAGAGCCCAGCAGGTCGAGGCTGCGGTGGCCAGGAGCGGCCACTGCACTCCAGTCTGGGCGACAGAGTGAGACTCCAACTCAAAAAACAAACAAACAAACAAAAAAACAAGAATAAAAGCTCTGGGCCCCAGTATTTTAAGAAAATAGAGTTGAGAGACAGGCCTGGCATTTGACAAGAGAAGAAAGGAAAGGAAAGAGGGACAGAAGAAAGGAGAAAGATACAGTCACCAAAAAATAACTAAAGCCACACGTAGAGGTATAAACCAGTATCACTGGCAGAAACTTCAGTAGAGTACCAGTGGTTACTCCCAACCATCAAGAACCATACATGAAAAAAAAAAAAAGAACCATACATGGGCCCAATGCAGGGGCTGTGATCCAAGAACTTGGGAAGGCTGAGGCAGGAGGATCACTTGAGCTCAGGAGTTTGAGACCTAGCCTGAGCAACATAGCGAGAACTCATCCCTACAAAAAATTAGCTGGGCATGGTGGTTCGCACCCGTAATCCTAGATACTCAGGAGGCTGAAGCGGAAGGATCACTCAAGTTCAGGAGGTTAAGGCTATGGCTAACTGTGATTGTGCCACTGCACTCATGCCTGGGTGACAGAGTATGACCCCAACTCAAGTAATAATATAACAAAAATGATTAGCCAGGTGTGATAGTATGCACCTACAGTCCCAGCTACTCAGGTGGCTGAGGCTGAAGGATTACCTGAGCCCAGGGGGTCGAGGCTGTGGTGAGTCATGATTGTGCCACTGTCCTCCAGCCTGGGTGACAGAGTGAGATCCCGACTCAAAAAAAACAAAAAAGAGTGTTTCAATACAGAGGAGCAATCAATTTGCAAGTCCTTCTGACAGCTTCTCCAGTTCAGTCTGCCCGCTCTCTTGAACTGGGCTCCAGCTGGGTAGAAGAAAGAGCTGGGTCTTCCTATTTCTTTTCTACAATCCTTGAACATCCAGAAGAGGTGGAGGGAAAGAAAGACATCACGACACCTAATTCCTGGGAAAACTGGTGGAGCCTACAGTGAGGCTCACTGTCTGGAAGGAGAGCTCGTCCCTGGCATCTAGAGCAGTGCTGTGCTCCGATGTGGTCCCCTTCGTGGTGTGGGCTTACAAGCTGAATCTATTTCTAGGCATTTTGTTTCTCCGGCTCCTCCCTCTCATTGCTGGGAGAATGAAAGCAGAACTCAGGGGACTTCCCATTCAGATGATATGCTGTGTCCTCATGCAACAGTGTGGATAGTCAGGCTGGATTCCACCTTGGACCTGAGAATTTCCCTATGCTCGAAAGTGCATCCACATAAGCCTCATGGGCGTGCACAGGCTTCTTGGGGTTTTTTTCTGCTTGACTCACCCTCCCGGCATTCCTTCTCATTGTTTATCAGGTGGCAAGCAGCTGTCCTAGAAACAGAGGCTGCTGGCCAGGAGCACTAGGAAACAAGCCTATCGTTTGGACAGTTGGCACCCATGGGCCCTTCCTCACACAGCCTGCTTCCAAGAGACTGGGAGGCTGGGAAGCCGTGAAGCCACACAGTCTAGAGGCCGGTCAGCGCTCGCCCTGTGCCTCTGTAGATCAGTCCATCCTTGACAAAGGCGATGGTGTGTTTTCTCTCAATGCCCACATCCAGCTCTTATGTCAAGACACTGTCTGAATCAGGCTTTGTTAAGTGGCTTATAACTCAGTCCCCAGAGGTCCTGTTGAGGCCAAACCATGTGGAGTTTCAGTGATGGCCCTCTCCAGGAAGGAAGCTGGGCTCTGGGTCTCGGGCTGATGGCAGAAGGAAGAGCCGGGCCTTCCTGTTGCTTTTCTACATGCCTGGACGTTTCCTGGGTGGATTCAGCTGGTGAACATGACGGGGATGTCCTGCATCCTTTCTGAGTCCAGTGGTTTATTGTCCGGAAGATGCTTGAATTCGCCGAGCCCAGGAAGGAGCGGTACCCCGGAAGGCCTGGGACTTGTCAATGATATGCTTTCGTGGCCCAGAGCTGTTTCAGAAGCATGTTTCAAGCTGTGCGTGGGAGTAGCAGCAAGAAGTTCCTTTGTTTGAGTAAGGGTCTCTGTCACCCAGACTAGAGTGCAGTGGCATGATCATGGCATGATCTACCTCCTAGGCTCAGGTGATCCTTCTGCCTCAACCTCCCTAGTAACTGGGACTACAGGTGCATGCCACCACACCTGGATTTTTTTTTTCTTATTTTTTCTAGAGACAGAGTCTTGCTATGTTGCCCAGGCTGGTCTTAAACTCCTGCTCAAGTGATCCTCCCTCCTCATCCTTCCAAAGTGCTGGGACTGTGGGTATTAACCCCGACACCCAACCAAAAAGTTCTTTTTTCTATTGCCCTTGTCTGGATTTCCTTCAAAGATGAACAAGCTTTCATCTTTGAAGGAAGTCATTTTTGAGGATGGGCGCATGTCTTACCCAAATTGCTTTACCAGCAGGGTCCTGGTTCTGTGTCATATTCAGCGTTTTCCTGGATGTGATTGGACCATTTCTGGCTTGTTTCTGTGTCGCTGACTTGTTGAGTAGCAATATCTCCACCTATTGGTGGAGGAACCAAGAAATAGAAAAGCTCAGAGTTTTTTAATGTGACAGGGAACTGAGACTGTGGCGTTGACTGTTGGGTGTGTGAGTGGATCTCAGCTCAGCAGATATCCTGCTGCGATTCAGCCACCAGGATCCAGCAATGCCCCCCCGGACCCCTCCCCCCAGCAGCTTACACACCCAACTGTCCATACCCGCCCGTGACTCGTGGATGGCATGGATGGAAAGGCGGTCTGCTTCATTTGAAAGGATCCAGTCAGAGCCAGAGAGGGTACCCCCTCATCCAGCTATGCGGATGACTCAAACATCCCCACTGAGTAATGAACAGAAAAAAGAATGCTGCAGTCTTGACTGAACAATGAGCACTAGGACCAGAGTCCTGTGGACTCTGCCTCTCCAGACAGACCCCATTGAGTGACTAGGCCCCCCTCCCCCAGGATTCCTGGCAAAGGCAGGAGACCATCTGATTTTCACCACTGTGGTAAGGGGTGCTGCTGGTGACCACAGGTCAGGGAAGCTGCTTAGCCTCCTGCTGTGCTGGGACAGACGCCCCCCCCACCTGCCACCCCATCGGAAGCTGGAGAAGCCCACTCTAGAGTGTCCTGCTGGGGGGTGGTGTTATGTAGGTCAACCCAAGAGGCTGGTGCTTTGAAGATGGGGGTGGGGTTTTCCTTCCCCTTCAAGTTTCTGGGGCCTCTCAGCAGTGGGCCAAGCATCTAACCAAAGAGCCCAGCATTCCCACGTGGGGCAGGCAGCCTTCACGTGACCCAGGATGCTGGTCTAAGAAGACCAGGCAGGCTTCTCATCCCTCCAAGATCAGGCATGGAGGCTTGGGTCATGTATGGGGTCATAGTTGCTCTCACCTTCTTGAAAGAGCATCATATTTTGCCTGAAGTTATTTCTACGTCTTAGGGTTTCCTAGTTTTGCCACTATAATTACCCTGTCATTCTATAAACTCACTGAAGGCTATGCTTAAACCAACTTATCCACGTATATTCCCAGTCAACAAGATTGCCGGTTTTTCATTAATTTTCAGCTGTATTTTAAAATTGAGTTCCCGCTGCATGCTGGGCACTATACTGAAGGCTTTGGTAAGTGGCAGCTAGAACTGGTCCTAAAATTAGCTCCATTCTGGCTGTCACTTCCTAAAACCTTCAGCACTGTGCCCAGTTTCCAGCAGGGACTCCATTAATATGAGCTGAACAACAGTCTGCGTTCCTGGGCTCTGTCTCTCACTCTGGACTCTGGCAGACAACCCTGGAATGTCCAGGATGCTCCATCTGCACTGTCTGGCCTCAGTGGGAAGGGCGGGGTGCCACTCCCTCCTGCCTCATGAGCACCCCTGCAGGCTGGACTGCCCTGGGGCCTCTGCCAGTACGCAGCCTGGGCTCTGATGGCCAGATGAGAAAAGCCATTGTTTCTCTCAGAGCTTCCTTTTCCTGCCATCGGACACATTGTAGCTGAGCAGATGTGCCCTACTTTCTAATTACTAGGAGCCATTTTATGGGGACAAAACGGCTAATGAATATCCTGTAAAACGTTAACTCTGCTTTTGCTGTTATGACCAGTTTCAGGAGGCAACAGGTAGGCGATGCAGTTGTGCAGGATCTTGAAATAACATGCGTATGACTGCACAGGTGTCTACCCTTCTTTAAAATCAGATTCAAGTCTGGGCAATATAGTGAGACTCCATCTCTACAGAAAAAAAAAAACTCAAAAAATTAGCCAGGCATGGTGACACATGCCTGTGGCCCA